TCTTTCTCTTTCTTTCTCTCTCTCCTCCCCTTATATTGTATGTGATAGATCATCACTGGAAACAGTAACCATAATACAAGGCAATATTACACCAGTCTTTGAATAATCATAAAAAAATAAACATAAAAATAACAAAAATGACAAGTTATGTTGGTGATGATAAAGATGATAACGTTGACCTTCGACGATTATAAAAATAATGATGATGGCGATGGTTATGACGATGATGATGAATACAATAAAATCCCATTCATTTTCGGAGCCAGCTTAGAAAACTTTGCAGATTCACATTTTTTTTACTAGTCTCTGAATATTTGGTGTTATCAGTATCTCGATGGCTACCTCTACTTCTCATAATATTTCCTTAGACTTTTTTCAGACTCCATCAGCATGGGAGCCCTTGTCAGTGAACGAAACAAACAAACAAACAAATCGATAGGGATAGGGATTCAAACACATGTCCCCCAGCAGGCGGGCAAGCACGAGAGCTAAACGGTAAGGCCAGCCAATGGTCATCAACGTCCATGATAGGCTTACTACCACTGCCACCACTACCACTGCCACCACTACCACTGCCACCACTACCACTGCCACCACTACCACTGCCACCACTACCACTGCCACCACTACCACTGCCACCACTACCACTGCCACCACTACCACTGCCACCACTACCACTGCCACCACTACCACTGCCACCACTACCACTGCCACCACTACCACTGCCACCACTACCACTGCCACCACTACCACTATTGCTGCTGCTGTTGATACTAATACTAGTGCTACTACGACGACCATTACGCCATTACTGTTGCTACTACTGCTCCTGCTGCTTTGCTTTTGCTGCTGCTTGAGCTACGGATATCGCTACCACTACTACTACCGTAGCAGCTGTGGCTACTAGCACTACTACTTGTATTACTGCTACTTATTCTTCTTCCTCGTTTGCTGTCCTATATGTAAACCTTTTATTTTTTATTTTTGCGCTAACACTTTTGTCTTTCCTCCCTTTAAAAAAAAAAAAAGCCACATAACATCGGAGCGGCGTGTGCGATCAACCTGCCTCGGCAAACTTCGGTTATCGGTGGCAAAAACTAACACACGAGACAGGTAACACACCTCTCAACTCTCCAGTCTTTGTTCGACATATAGTGCATCTTCACACTTGTCATTCTTGTTGCGGCTTGTGTCTTCCATCAATCATTCAGACACAGTATTACCAAATCAAGTTTTCCTAACTGAAGCCAAAGTTGGTTGGATATCCTCTACAGCAGTGTTATTCTGCCTGAGTCAGAGGAACTAGTCCCTCTCTTTTGCCAGTCCCTGAGTGTAGAAAAGGTTGAAGAACACTGCTCCGTAGGAGGTTGCAATCAACCCCAGCTTTTGTTTTCTGTTTGTGATATTCCCAGGCAATTTTACGTTTAGTAGCGTTTTAAAATCTTTTTAAATCCTATCTTGATATACGGGAGTGAACAATGGAGAGCTGGTAGATTAGTAAAACTCTTTTGAAAACTGCAGAGAGGTGGTTTTATAGACGCGTGATAAGAATACCCTAGACTGATAAAAAGAGTAATGAAGTCTTAAAAGAAAGTGACTCAAAAACTGATAGCCCATATCAGAAACAGATAATCATCATTCTTTGATCAAGTGATGAGAAGAAGAAAACGGGAGTACAACGTGACAGTAGGAAGGTTGGAGAGCAGGGGAGGGAGGGGGAGACCAGACAAAAGATGCTAGCTAGACAGTTTGACATCATGGCATGGAAGATTATCAATGTCAGAATTTATTAAAAGTACACGAGACAAGCCTATGGACAGACAAGACTTCCAACGCAACACGGCATGGACTTTAAGAAGAAGAACAAGAAGAAGAAGAAGAAGAAGAAGAAGAAGAAGAAGAAGAAGAAGAAGAAGAAGAAGAAGAAGAAGAAGGAGAAGAAGAAGAAGAAGAAGAAGAAGAAGAAGAAGCGTTTGCCACTGCTTCTGTGATGTTGACACTCCCTCATCATCAGCGTAGAGTGTCCAGCTGCTGTTGACTGTCTGATCAGATCACTCCATCTCTGTCAATCACTTGCAATGAACTTGAGATTTTTATAGTTGACTCCTGTCCTTTCAACAAGTTCAGCAAATTCAGTAACTATGTCTTTCTTCAGTTTTCGTTTCTCTTCTACAGAATCCTGAAGTATCGTTCTGTATATGCGGCTACAGATTATTATGTGTCCACATCTTCTGCATTTTGCGTCTTTTCACAAGAGTGTCATAGATCTGATAGATCATTACAGTCTGATGAGAATGGCGCTGCGAGGAGTTACCAGGGGATCTGGCCTCGGTTTAACACTCAGGGGAAGGATGAGAAGGATATACAATTAGACGTTTACTGGTAACATCGGAATAGGAACTCTTCTCTTGCTGCTGAAGATGGGGAATGAGCACTTATGGGAGTGTTCCGGGTGCTGTGATGTCGATTCTTAATTTAACATTCAACAAGAGTGTCATAG